AGAAGGCCACCAGGTTGGTCTGACAGGACCTGCCTCTAATGAACCTGTGTTGGTTGCCCCTAAGCATAATCTCCCCTGCTGGCCCTTCGTGGACACGGGACAGGATAATTCTCTCAAAATTATCTCTTGTGCCTCAGCCAGCCTGTCCACTGCATGTTGAGCCAGAGGAAGCAGCCCTGGGCTGGCAGGCTGACCCACCAGACCCTCTACCAGCATAGGTAGCAGAAGGCCTGGGGTAATGAGCTATCACCCCTGAAACACGGGGCAGCGGTGGCAGTGCAGAGGACCACAGGGCAGCCCGGGCATGGGCTCCAGGAAGCTGCAGGGGGGAGAGGTGCACAGACATGGACACGCAGCTGCAGCCTGCAGTTGGCCAGGAATGCAGCCCAGTGGTGTGCGGAGCTGCAGGCTGGGGCTCTGCACCCTGCTTCCATTGCCCCAGGCAGGCAGGGGACACAGCACAGCCAGTGTACACCTCCCACAGCAACAGTAGTGAGGCACATAGCCCCAGCCTGCAGCAGCAGCCCACCTCCACCCCACTCACAAATCCAGGGGGCACATTCCTAATCTTCCCTGATTCTCTGTGGCCCTGACTCAAGGAGCTGCATCTAGTTTCACACCTGAGAAAGGGACTTCATCTCCTGTTGGACCAAACCAGTGTAACCCACAATGCCAAGCAACACGGCAGTAAAGGCATTTATTGGGACAAAGGCCAGCCAGACACAGGTTCTCTGCTTTTCCTCCTCCAAAGGGGTTAAGCAGTCCCTCCATCCTCAATCCAGCCCACACTGCCCGGAGCATCCACAAAGATACTCAACCCTTCCTTTTCCAGTCTCTCCAGCTTCCCAATGCTCCTTTACTTCTCTCAGTTCCAGATTCTTCTGGCCAGGAGCTGACGGACTAATTTCCCAGCCTGCTCTCCCACTACCATGTTTGTCTCTCCAATCTCACTTTGTTGATATGTCAGAGCTATTCAAGACTGTTGAGCTTAAAAGTCCATCTTGTCTTCTGCACATAGGGGCGCAGGTGGTGTTTTCCTCTCTTCTTCCGGTGAGT